TGCTGCTGAGTGTCTCTGAACTGCCCCTATTGTGTGCCCAGATTAATACTTGCTCAGACTCAGGGCCATATTTGCCGCGAGGCAAACGAGGCATTTGCCTAGAGCGGTACTTTTCAGGGGGGCAGCACCGCCGCCCCCCCTTCCCATGAAAGGGACACTTCCGTGAGAAAGGGACAGGGGCTGCTGTGTCTTGCCTGTGTCCGCGACTCGATCCGGTCCACAAGGCGCTGCTGGAGGAGGGATGCAGAGGGTGTCCGTCCGGTGTCCTCATCTTCCTGGATCTTGATCGCGATGTGGGCGGGATGACAAGCCGCCCCTCGAATCTGGCCACACCCCTGGGATCACTGGGCAGTCTATGGCAGCCTGTCCCTCCCTCTGCAAGATCCGCCTCCTTGCTGGTGATTGTCCACCAGATCTGTAGCTCAGAAAAGGCACACAGGCAGCCAATCACAGGCGAGGAGGCGGAGCTTGGAGAGGAGGACCTGAGCGGCAGTGCGAAGATTTAAGATTGAGTGAGGGAGCAGCTGGAGAAGGAAGACAGCTGATGGGTAAGTGTCTGTGCCTGAAGGAGGGAGCCCGGGCTGGAGCAGGGGTCAGCACAGTGATGTAAGTATAATTGGTGTCAGTGGGAGTAATCGTGCCCCATCATTAGTGTCAGTGCGGGAGGAATAGTGCCCCCTCGTTGGTGTCAGTGACACCAATGAGGGGGCACTTTTCCTCCCAGTGACACCAATGATGGGGTACGATTCCTCCCACTGACACCAATGATGGGGCACGATTCCTCCCACTGACACCAATGATGGGGCACGATTCCTCCCACTGACACCAATGATGGGGCACGATTCCTCCCACTGACACCAATGATGGGGCACGATTCCTCCCACTGACACCAATGATGGGGCACGATTCCTCCCACTGACACCAATGATGGGGCACGATTCCTCCCACTGACACCAATGATGGGGCACGATTCCTCCCACAGTGGGTGGAGCTCTAATAGGAAGAGATGGAGCCCAAAGAGTAAGTGGTGGAGTTTGCAGATGAAAGGGTGGGAAAAATTTAGAGGGGAGGGGGCCCGATTTTAGCCTTGCCTAGGGCAGCACAAACCCAAGATACACCACTGCTCGGACTGCCTATTGCGTGTCCGGATTATTGTAGCTACCTGGACTGCCCCCCAAGTGCTCGGGCCATCGCTACCTGAATCGCCCTATTGTGGGCTGGATTATAACTGTTTGGAGTCCTCCCCCCTTTTTTGGGTACCCGGACGCTACCTTCCTACCCTGATTAAGTGCCTTCCATAGTTCAATAAAGCTTTGTGTGGTTATCGTCCTCCGTGTGCATTCTATCCTGACTACGCTTCAGTCACAGATGTACATACATTGTAATCATTTTATTATATTGTCTCCATTTCATGTGTAAATGTAACAGTGAAGTTTCACATTTCTCATTCCTTGTGTAAACTGAGAAACTAGTTTCATTTTCTCGGGAATGACCTCTCATTTCTTTTTTTTTTTCGTAATAATGTTTGAGTAATGTAAGTTTTCAACATTCCAGATATTACATTCCAGATATTACATTCCAGATATTACAACAGTCATAAATGGAAGGAAATGATAAAAAACAAAAAACATTAAAATACTGAGACTTCATCAGACCATAATCAGAGCTTTGCACAATTGAACCATCATAGTCCATAATCTACCTTGCATAGCTGGCTGTCAGCTGAGGACGACCCCCAAAAATAAAAGGGGGGGTTCACCTTCTCTCCCCCCCCCCAGCATAAAGACAGCGGATGAATAATGCAGTGGTCTCTCATCGGGTGGTGCCAAGTGTGAGATCAAGAGTTACACCATGACAATATACTGTACTCCTTCCAGAGCGGTACACCTCCATTGTCCACCTCCATTGTCCGGACAAGTGAAACAAAGTGATCAGGAGACAAGGGCCTTGTAATCATCTGAAGCTTTAAAATGTAGATTACCCCTCATTTCTGTGTAAACGGGAATGCCTTGTATGGTACAGCCGCTGATGTAGTATTCCCTCATTTACTTATCAATATTTTGTCTTGTGTTAGTGATTGATTACTTTGATCCACCCTCTTTCATGGGCAGCTACAGCTGTCAATCACCGGGTGATTAGAGCAATACAAAGCAGCATGCTTACCCAGTAAAACACATACAGCACACATAGTAACAGCACACAGTTAACCCTTTGATCGCCCCAGATGTTAACCCCTTCCTGCCCAGTGTCATTGGTACAGTGCCAGTGCTTTTTTTTTAGCATTGAACACTGTATTAGTGTCACTGGGGATGTCAGTGGCAGTTACTTTCCCCCCCCCAGTGTCTAAATTCCCCTCCGTAGTCCCGCTATAAGTCGCTGATCGCCACCATTACTAGTATATATATTAAAACAATCCAGTATTTATATCGCCATTTGTAGAGCTATAACTTTCATGTAAACCAATTAATTTTCACGTATTGGGATTTTTTTTTTAGTAAAGACATGATGCAGAATACATTTTCGCCTAAATTTATGACCTTTTTTTTTTTTTTTTTTTTTTTTTTTTTTGGATATGTTTTATAGTAAAAAGTTAAAAATATTGTGTTTTTTTTTGTTTGTTTGTTTGTTTGTTTTTTTCAAAATTGGTGGTCTTTTTTGTATATAGCGCAAAAAAAAAAAACGCAGATGTGATCTAATACCACCTGAAGAAAGCTCCATTTATGGGGAAAAGGACATAAATTTAATTTGGGTGCAGCGTTGCATGACCACGCAATTGTCAGTTGAATTAATGCAGCGCTATATCACAAAAATTAGCCTGGTCAGGAAGAGGGGTAAATCCTCTGGAGGGCAAGTGGTTAAATAACAAATGCATCATGGTAAAGGCTGGATAATTGCTTGAACGATACCTGTTATTCCCAGGATCCGGAGGACAGGACGTGTTACCAATTAACCGTTTCAATGTATTGACTGCCAATATCGTTTCTTGAGGCCTGAAAACACCAGGATAGTACAAATACCCCCCCAAATGACCCATTTTGGAAAATAGACAGCCCAAGGTATTTTTAGTAAGAAGTATGGTGAGTTTTTTTAAGCTGTAATTTTTTGTCACAATTTTATGAAAAATGAAGAAATTAAAAATACTTTTTTTTTTTTTTTTTTTTTTTTTTTTTTTTTTTTTTTAATATTGTCACCAGCCAAGTACAGCGTTGCCATATAACCGATGTGGCGATCAGAGACACTGACTTGTGACAGTATGTAAAAAATAAATAAACTTTTTTTTTCTAATATTTTTTCTTTTTTATTACTTTTTTTTTTTTTTCTTAACTTTTTTTTTCAACACACTGAGACCAGAGCAAAACAATGGTACCATAGTATCATTGTACTACTCTGGGCAAGTGATCAGCATTATTTATTTATTTTTACACATTACGATTGCTAATACCAATGTATTTAATTGATATTAGCAACCATTTTTACTGAATGAAACTGATTCATTCAGTCTTTTGTTGTGATTAGCTGTGATTGGGCAAAGCTCATCACATGGTACAGATTATTATTATTATACAGGATTTATATAGCGCCAACAGTTTGCTCAGCGCTTTACAATATAACTGGAGACAATACAGTTCAATACAAGAGGGTTAGGAGGGCCCTGCTCCTTGGAGCTTACAATCTAGGAGGGAGGGGCTAGTGGTACAAAAGGTAGTAACTGTGGGGGATGGACTGGTTGGAAGAGTAGAAGATTCCAGTATTAGCTGAGGGCAGGATAGGCTTCCCTGAAGAGAGGTTTTCAGAGATCGCCTAAAACTGAGCAGAGTAGGCGATAGTCTGATAAATTGAGGTAGAGAGTTCCAGAGGATGGGGGAAGCTCTGGAGAAGTCCTGGAGACAAACATGGGAGGAGGAGACAAGGGAGCTAAAGAGCAGGAGGTCGTGGGAGGTGTGGAGAGTACGGTTTGGGTGATATTTGGAGACAAGATCGGTGATGTAATTTGGGGTGGAGTTATAAATGGCTTTATATGTTATTGTTTTGAATTTTATCCGTTGGGCAATGGGAAGCCAGTGGAGGGATTGTTAGAGAGGGATGGCAGATACAGAACGGTTATTAAGGTGGATGAGTCTGGCAGCAGCATTCATGATGGACTGCGATAAGGTAGGCCAATGAGGAGGGAGTTACAATAGTCAAGGCGAGAGATAACCAGGGAGTGAATAAGTTGCTTAGTAATTTCCGAGGCTGTGATTGGCCCTGTCTGTACCGTGTGACCACTGTGACCAATCACAGCTAACACAATTGTAAACAATGGATGGCATGAAAGGAAGCCATCCATTGCATACAATTGACATGTGATCTGCTGTGATTGGTCAGATGACACTAGCAGCGGGCCAGTATAGTGACAGGACACAGCCAGTGACAGATCGTGCGGCCGCGTGAGCGGCACCTTTTGACAGGACCTCATAAGACGTCCACTCAGAAGGAGGAGCGTCCCCTGCAGTCATCAATCTGCTATAGGTCAGGCGGGAAGGTGTTAAAAAAAAAGAAACTATTTTTACATCCACCCTGGATCGGATGTGACGTCATGACGTCACTCTGGTCCTCCAACACAATAGAGGCTATGAGACCATGGAGTGTCTCATCACCTCTAGGAACAGCAGGCCGCACCAGCAGATCATTTCTTGGGCGCGTTGGTTTTAACGGTAAGCCCGAGAAACTCCAGCAAGTGGTGGTGTTGTGGGGGGGACATGCCCTCCCACTGCTGCTGAAAGCGTTCCAGTGGCTAATCAGCCATAACTCTATGTTTTATATACATATAGTGGTCATCCAGTGGTTAATGTTTTTTTTTTTTTTTTTAAGTGGTCTGTTTTTAGGTCTTGAGTGGATGAAACACTGTTGTGATCAAATGTCTGACATTTTTTGAACTTATGACCAGAGGTGGACTGACCATTCGGAAACTCGGGCACTGCCCAAGGACAGTAAGGGGCTCCATGAGATGCCCCTGGCACCTTTCATAGGCTTTTTTGGGTGTGGTTGGAGTGTGGGTGAGGACACATGGGCCCCATGATCCCCTAGTGCCCAGGGCCCCATGGGATGTCAGTCCGCCCCTGCCTATGCCTCTAAAGACGGGAAGAGCCATGCAATGTACAGCCAGTGATGAGGAGCCCGTAGTCTCTATAGACAGCACCCCATACAGCTGCGCAGTGCCGCCCCGAGGCATGCCGGGACATCTCATTCTACCTCTGCAGTACACACAGCACAGCAGGCAACCCGGGTCGGCTAAAACTACATTTCCCGGCGGCCCCGGGTGACGTCACGTGCCATGTGACCCGGCCCGCTCAATCGCTCCCTTTGTTACAGAGCTCACAGCGTTTGTAAGGCGCTCCGGAGGAGGGTGTGAGGCAAGGGCCCGGCTGTGGCGTTGGGGGCCCCGAGCGGTAATCCTGTTATAGGTAAGGGAAGAAGGAGGGGCTCTGAAGCGAGTGCAGGGGAGGGTGAGGAGCCGGCTTGATAAGCGGTGGCATTATAACGGGTGATGGCCACGTCCCCGGTGCGGTGAGTAAGTACCGGAAGTGATGTCACTGGGTGCTTAGCCGTGCTGGAGAGAGCCGAGAGTGGGTGCGGGGAGGGAGAGGAGACTGCAGGAGGCACGGTGATGGGGAGAGGGATGGCGAGTGAGCAGGTTAAGATGTGTTCCGCTCCCGTAGAGGATTAATTAGCGAACAGTGCGAGTAACAAAGTGCAGGGGCAACCAATCATAATTCTCCTTACTATTAGCAGGTCCTTAAAAGATGTACTGTGATTGGTTGCATATCGTCTTATTGACTATGTCCAGTAGGGTTTGGTGAGGCGTGACCAGAGTACATGATTGTCTGCTGAGCTGAACAATTCTAGTCCTGGGATTGTTGGTGGGTTGTCAAGGACCATGTTCTGTTGTAAAGGAATGGGCCTCATCCACACTGGCAGGCTTCAGCTGTTCTAAACGCAGGAAACGTAGAAACTTTTATATCTCCCTCCATCACACTACTGAGTCTAGATGTGTCTGCTTTAACTACTTGCCTACCGGGGAACTTTTTTGCCCACGTGGTCAAAACTGCACTTTTGCTAGAAATTGCTATAAACTCTCCAAAAAGAATATATTTTCTGACTGTTCCTCCCACTCTCACCGCGGTTTTCTTCCAGGGATGCCAGGAAACGCTGTGTGTGCTTCCATCGCGGGGAGGGTATAGATTGGGAAAGCCCTGGGCCGACTTAACCAGTTCACGCTCCTGTATGACATCCTCCTGGACATGCTGCTCGTGCGTGCCCCCATGGGCGCACTTTGATCAGTGGTGAGCTGTGTCCCTTGGAAACGGCGCATCGCCAATCATGGTAAAGAGCCAATGATGTTGGCTCTTTACCATGTGGTTAACTGTGTCCAATCACATGTAAACAAATGCGGGCATTTCCTTTCCTGTGTGCTGTCTGATAACCAACTGTCCTGTGACAGGGGACATAAACACTGATAAGCGGTGTAGCTTCATCGGTGCCATCAATGCAGCCTATCAGTGCACATCAGCAAAGAAAATTTTACTTATTTGCAATTCTTTGGGTAGAAACTAAGAAAAAGTGTGTGTGGTTTTTTTTTTTTTTGTTTTTGTTTTTTTTTAAGCAAAAAATAAAAAACCCAATGGTGATTAAATACCAACAAAAGAGAGCTCTGTCTTAACCGTTAGCCGCCCGGCCAATGGCTGTTTGGCGGCTTGAAAAGCGCAGCTTTCCGGGTGCACGCCATTTGGCGTGCTCCCGCACATGCGCGGTTGCAGAGCGACGCAGCAGTGCGATCTGTCACCGCCCGTGCACCTCGGACACGGCCGATGACAGATCCGAGTACCGGCTCCCGTTGCCGGTACCATGTGACCTGCTGTGACCAATCACAGCAGGTCACATGACAGTTGTATACAATGGATGGCTTCATTCATGATGCCATCCATTGTATACTAGTGCCTAGCTGTGAATGGTCACAGCTAATCACATGCACATGTCATGTGATTAGCTGTGACCAAATCACAGCTAAGCACAAAAAAAAAAAAAAAAAAAATGCTGAATGAATCGATTTACATTCAGGTAAATGCTTGCTTATAGCAAAGTAATTCTTTGCTATAAGCAAATTGTGTAAAAAAAAAAAAAAAAAAAAATACTGATCACTTTCCCAAAGTAGTACAGTGTTACTATGGTAACATTGTACTATTTTGGTCATAGTAAAAATGATGAAAAAAAATCTAAAAAATGTAATAAAAAAAATTAAAAAAAAAAAAAGAATATATATATATTTTTTTTTTTCATACTGTCACCAGTCAGTGTCGCTGTTCACCGCCATGCCAGTTATATGATGACACTGTACTGCACTGGTGACAGTATGTAAAAAAAAAAATAGTGAAAATAATTTTTTTAATTTTTTCATTTTCCGAAAAATTATGACAAAAAAATACAACTTCAAAAAACTCGCCATGCCTCTTATGAAGTACGTCGGACTGTCTACTCTGCAAAAAGGGGTCATTTGGGGGATATCTGTACTGTTCTGACATTCTTGGACCTCAAGATATTAGATTGGCTGTCAGTACTTCAGGATTGATCAATATTCAGATCTATACCATAGTTTGTGAACTCTATAACTTTCCTACAAACTAAAAAAGACATCCTAATTTGGGTTATTTTCACCAAAGACATGTAGCAGAATACATCTCGGCCTAAATTTATGAAGAACAATTATTTATTTGTAAACTTTTATAACAGAAACAAAGAAAAATGTGTTGTTGTTTTTTTCAAAATTTTTGGTCTTTTTTTGTTAATTTAGCAAAAAATAAAAACCCCAGCGGTGATTAAATACCACCAAAAGAAAGCTCTAGTTGTGTGAAGAAAATGATCAAATTTTAGTTTGGGTACAATGTTGTATGACCGCGCAATTGTCATTCAAAGTGTGAGAGCGCTGAAACCTGAAAACTGGCCTGGGCAGGAAGGTGTAAAATTGCACGGTATTGAAACGGTTAAAAAAAAAAAAAAAAAAAAAATTAATTTGGGTACAGTGTTGCATGACCTCACAATTAGCAAATAAAGTGTGACAGAGCTGAAAATTGGCATGGGCAGGAGGGAGGTCAAAGTGCCCAGTAGGCAAATGGTTAAACTGCAGCTAAAGTTCCACTGTAGCATACAGTGAGCAGGCAGGCTTTTATTGTTGAAGAAACATGCACTGCCTGTTCTGTATTAAACGCACTGCAATTTCAACCATACATTGATTGGTTGGCTGCAGGGTGGATTTGAGTTAACTCAAACTGATTTAAATCACTAGTCAGTAAGGCTTGATTTAAATCCTAGTTTTCTACATAAAGACTAATTCTTGCTGGTTTAACTTTAATATGCAAGTAGATGAAGATTTTTAGAATAACAACCTTTCATATTAGTTTTTTTATCCCCAGTTTAATAGGTTAATCATTCATATTTGGACAACTTTTCTGTTGTACTTAAGAAGGAGAAAAATAATCATTACCTTTAATAACAATTGAAATAGATTTAATCAACTGAAACAATAACATTCCAGCATATGTTATTTGCTTAAACAAACATCCATGTTTGTTAACTAATTTGGCTGAACAAAATATATATATTTTTTAAGAAACTTAGACTGTCAGCCCCTTCCTCCTCACACTTGGTTTCGCTTTCTTCTTGTGCAAATCTATTCCACTCCAAACAATCAGAAAAATATTGTTTCTATTCTATTCACTGAACTTCTTGAAACTTAGCACTGAAGGGGTTGATTCTGTATTCATAGGTTTGTAGAAGTTAGGATTAAGGTCTTTTTCTTAACTCTGTTCATGTTATAACATTTTTGCTGTGAAGAAGAGGCATGTGATCTCCGCTGAGTCCAATTCAGTTTTGAGAACTGCAAAAGTAAACCAAGCATCTGTGATATCTTGTAGGCAGAGAAACTGCCCAATAATCTTACAAAAACCTCCTGGAAGAGCATGACATTGTGAATGGATTATTGGAATTTATTTACCAAAACAATTAAACATATACAGCCTTATTCTACATAATTAAAAAACTAATCTTTATTTCATGATGGAATAACCTTTTGGATGGTAATATATTTTCCTCCAAAAAGCATTTTATTTAAAAAAAAAAAATCTTTTTTTTTTTTTTTTTTTTTTTTTTTTTTAATCATTGACTTCATCCACCCTGGTTGGCTGTGTGCACAAACTATTCTGTGCTGAAATTCTAGAATGCTTGCAAAGTAAAGCAATGACAGGGAAGAGCGTGTTCATTGAGGGTGATTACTAGCCTTTGAAGCAGCTGAGCAAGAGCTGTCTGGGGCTACGGCAAGCAGTAAAGCACAATATAAAATAGGAAAATAAATGGCTACATCCATTATATGTGGTGGTACATTTTACTAACCAAAAAGTGTAAACAAATCTTTTCTTAGTCCTCCCTATTATTTGTCTACACATATACAGTGGCAAAAATATTTATTGGATCCCCTGCAGATTTTGTAATTTTGCACACTTACAAAGAAGTTAAGGATCTATAATTTTTATCATTGGTGTATTTTAAAAGATAACAGTATATCAACCAAAATCCAGAAAAAACACACGATACAAATGTTATAAAATGAGTTGCAGTTCAGTGAGTAAAATAAGTATTTGATCCCCTACCAACCACCAATAGCTCTGTCTCCCACAGACTGGCTATGTGCTCATGTGGTACACAAATTAGTCCTGTCAATTTAAGAAGGTGCTCCTCCTAACTTATGTGTATAAAAGACACCTGTCCCCAGAATCTTTCTTTTCTTCAAACCTCACCATCATGGGTAAGACCAAAGAGCTGTCAAAGGACGTCAGGGACAAGATTGTGCACAAGGCTGGAATGGGCTACAAGACCATCAGCAAGAAGCTTGGTGAGAAGGAGACCACTGTTGGAGCGATTATTCGCAAATGGAAGAAACACAAAATAACCATAAATCATCCTTGGTCTGGAGCTGTATGCAAGATTTTGACTCTTTGGGTAAGGATGATCATGAGAAAAATGGGGGATCAGCCCAGAGCTACACAGGGAGT